AAAACGCTATCCTGTTCTAAACCACATCAAAGATTATTTCTGAAACAGTATGGAGCTCAAATGCTTTTTCTCTTGCAAGGTGAGTTCCTTTTTTTATTTCCTGCTTTTTAAAACACTTGTGCTCTCCAGTACAGGTTAGCTCTGAGTGTTAGCAGGCTTGCTAATGTAAACAAAGAAGAGATTACGTCCAAAACACGTCAGGCATTGTTTCTGATAGCAATTTTCTGTGGGAACAAACGGCTTTTCTGTGAGATTGGTAAAATAAGGTCATAGGTAGAAGTTAGATATTTAGTTTGTTAGTAAGGTAACTTTATACATTTGCTAAGCTTGACTATGTAGACAAGCTAATGTCAAAGTAGTGTTCTTTTCATTAATGTTTTCCTGTATTTATTTATTTATTCATATTGTTATTTATGCCTTTATTTATATATTTATTTATAGAAAATGTCATGCTCCATAGACAAGCAATAAACACACGGACCCATTGTTTTTTGCCATTACAAGCAATGCAGCAGTGTATTGCTAATGTGGGTATTGTGTATGTCTGGTTATGCATTTCTAATTTAGTTACTTTCAGTAATTGTACTAATAACTACAGGCTATTAAGTCCTACTTCAACTTTTATAACTTTTAAATATTTAAAAGTACAACAGCCTCTAACTTTCCATGCAACCACATCCTGCGTACATCCAACAACAAGCTGATCGCTGATTCGCTGCTTTAAATGTCAATCTTGTTAAAGCGTCCATTAACGGTTACGTCAAGCTGGCAATGACAAGAGCAAAGGTATGCAGTTAGTACTTCAAAACAAAAGCCTTGAATTTTTAAAATAGATTAAATCCAAATATATTTATACATAAATGGGTTTAAATTACTCCAAAAATACCGATTGAGTTACCATGTATATATAAATTGTAACTATAAATGAGAAATAGTCATTATTTTACAAGGCGTTTTAGGGAAGAATTTATTTTGAAATGTGTTGTTGTGACATGGCGGAAATACTTTTTAGCTAACAGTTAGCATGTATTTTTGGGGAAGTCCAGTAATGTTGCTGCCAAAATAGACCCGAAAGGAAAAGTTATTTAACCATACTGTGTGGAGGACAAGAGCCCGTACATCCTTTGACAGGTAAGACTATTAAACAAGCTGCTATCTTTTTTTTTTGTGTAGCCTACGATGTTAAAATGCTAACGTATGTAAATATAGATATTTACATTATATGATGCGATACCAGAGGCTAACCATGTCTTTGCTAATAATACAATTTACATTCTGTATTCAATTCACTAATTATTTTCTTACCTGTACATTTTCTTAATTATTTATTATTATTATTATTATAATTATTATTATTATTATTAAGGGGTATTTCTTCTGTACTTTTTATCAACAAAGGGGGACTTCCTGGTTGTGGTTATTTACAGTGTTGGACATGTAAATGTATTCAAGTATTAAACTCAAGCACAATGTTGAGGTACTTGTACTTAACCCGAGTATTCTTAGTTTAAGCTACCCTGTACTTTTACTCCACTACATTTAAGAAGCCAATATTGTACTTTTTACTCCACTTAATTAATTTGACAGCTTTTTGTAACTAGTCACTTTTTAGCTTCAGAAAATTAGCTTACACAAAGTCTAACTTAATGATTAAATACACTTTGACATATATTTATAGGTTAAGATATCCGATACATAAATAATGACAATAGTAACTCAATATATGTCGTTCTGAAATGTTCCATTATGCATAAGGAGTACGTTTACTTTGAATGCAGGAATTTGACTTGAGAAACAAATATGAGTACTTCTTCCAACTTTAGTTATTTATAACTGCAGAAGAATGTGTGACACACAGCATTTCTTTAAAATAAGGTGTGTCTCTCATTTACCAACGTATGAGTTGACTCCTCTACTTGTCAAATGCATTGAGGCGACTAATTAAGTTAGTAAAAAAACTCAAAATAAGAAATAAATATTAGTGTTGTATTTGGTTATTTAAGAAGGGACAATGCTCATTAATTAACACGAGTGCATCGTCTAAATGTGACAGATTTAGCCATAGACGCTCATTTCCATCTGCAGGTTGTTGGCATTAAAAGAAAACATACAAGAGCATATAAGCAAAGAAAAACACATGCACAGTTTAAACCCCTTTTTTAAAACCCATTAACATGCAACAGACACATAAGACAACAGCTTTTCTTGTGCGTCTTATTCAATTGATTTCTTCCTCACTTTGAACCAGAAGTGACCAAAGTCTCAAATGTGCTTAATCAAATAGAGAGACTATCAGAGTCAATCTCTCTCTCTTGGAGTCAATCACATTGTTTTGCATTTGCTCTAATTTCATGGTCCTTTGATCTGAAAGGGTGAAGTCTTTGCTTACAGAATTACTTAACTCCTTGAATCCACAAAGTAAATAAGAAAATTGGGTTGATCTTGTACAAGAAGCGTGGCAGAGGTGGTTTCCACTCCATTTTGAAAAACACCCAGACAACGGAAACTAACAAAACCGCACTTTTCTATGAAGCCCATAAAACACACATCCTCCTCCTCACACACTCAACGACGAGCACCTGTTTTAACCAGTTCCTCCTCGACGCACATATGACCTATTTTGGACTATAGTAAACTACTCACTTCCACAACATATCGTGGAGTAGGATATATGCCAACAATCAGGAAGTAAACCGTAGCCACTTATATCTACATTTTTGTGCTGCTTTACCCTGAAAGCAAGGTCCAGTGAGTCCTGGAAGACAGTTGAGCGATGTGAAGTGCATTTTCCACATCTTGTATTTCTTGACAGAGCACATTCAGTTACAGATCTTATTGGCCATTTGGCAGCATGGCTTCAGGGTGGAAGGTGACAAGGAACAGGATTTCCACTTATGTCACATCCCAATTCCATTACAGATTTTAAAACAAAGGCCTATCCCATGTGTTCATTTTTTCACTGCATCCAAACAGGATTACATCCCACTTTCTGCTAGAAACCTTCACACGAATCGTCAACACGCCATGTCTAGTTGAAATAACTATTTTCTCGTACTTCTTTTCAGGATGTTACTAAAAATACTTCTGGGCGTCCTGTGCTGTGTCGGAGCCTTCGCCACAGAGAACATCACGGAGCAGCTGAGTCCTCCTCAGCTGCTGCTGGTGTCTTTCGATGGTTTCAGAGCGGACTACCTGCGGAGGTTCCCCATGCCCAACCTGAAGCTCCTGTACAGCCAAGGGATCCTGGTGGAGCAGCTCACCAACGTCTTCATCACCAAGACCTTCCCCAATCACTACAGCCTGGTAGCCCCGCTGCTGTTGTGCTTTTTGTGTCGTGAACATTAGAGTGGGATGAAGATGCACTTTCATATGTGCTTTTTATCAATCAAGTAAACATTTAAACCAATTATAAGAAAGACTTTAAGATGAAATAGTAAATTAAATTTAAATAGCATAACAGTTGTCTCACTCGTCACCGGCTTGAGCTTGAACCTCAGGATCCATGTATCTGTGATCCTCTCCAGAATGGAAGTAGTCATCACATACAGAGCATCAACTAGTTCCTGAACAGTGTCCTTCACATGCTGATATCCAAGAGAGGGAGTTACACAGTCACAAGATGGAGGAATAGAAAGCAGTATTCAATGTTTAGTTCTGATTAGCCATGTATTGATTATCCTCTCAAGAATGGAAGTAGTCAAAAAAAAAAAAAAAAGAATTTGTTGGTATTTTTCTCAAAATTCGGACTTTCTCAAAATCTAAAAACTTGGACATTTTCATCAAAATTCTAACTTTTTCATCAAAATTCTGACTTTTTCTCAAAAATCTCACAATTCTGACTGTTTCTAAAAATTCTGACTTATTCACCAAATTCTCAAAAATCTGACTTTTTCACAAAATCTAAACATTCTGACTTTTTTCTAAAAATTCAGACTTTCAGAATTTTGAGATTTTTGAGAAAAAGTGGGAATGTTTAGATTTTGTGAAAAAGTCAACATTTTTTGATTTTTGAGAAAAATTCAGATTTCACCAAATTCTCAAAAATCTGAATTTTTCTCAAAAATCAAAAAATGTTGACTTTTTCACAAAATCTAAACATTCCCACTTTTTCTCAAAAATCTCAAAATTCTGACTTTTCCACAGTCACAAGATGGAGGAATAGAAAGCAGTATTCAATGTTTACTTCAGATTAGCTCCACGTCAGAAATGATCATGCTTGTCATATGTCTCTCTCCATAGAGGCTGAATCATCATGTTAATCACATAGCTATCATATGCCTCAAACAGTCCTGATGCTCTTCTAGGTAATCACACATCCTGTCATGTTCACAGCTACAGTTGGGATACCTTTGTTATCAAGTTACTCTCATATTGGAAGAGGACATTCAGTATTTTCCCAACAACAGTGAATTATAGGATCATAACAAAAGCAATAGTAATGGTCTTTGTTTTCCTCTCCAGGTGACAGGGCTGTACGCTGAGTCTCACGGCATCCTGGCCAGTAACATGTACGACCCCGTCAGCCACGAGTACTTCCACATCAACAACGACTCCAACCCCATGTGGTGGAACGAGGCTCGGCCCCTCTGGATCTCAGCACTGGACTCCGGATATAAGACGGCGGCCATGATGTGGCCCGGCTCCGAAGTGACTATTGGAAACCGCACAGCGACACACTTCCTTCCCTACAACCCTCAAGTGACGTTCAAGCAACGAGTGGGGAACGTGACCAAGTGGATGTTAGGGGACAAAAAGGTAGGAACGTTTTTATTATCAAACTCACTGATTAGTGTAATTTATAACATTTTCAATGCAGTTCAATGTGTGTCGTCTGGAAGGGTTATTATTACCCATGGTCTGACTTTCTTTAAACCAAATTCCCTCAGGAGAAAGGAGTGATGTTTGCAGCGCTCTACTGGGAAGAACCGGACCGCTCGGGTCACATCTTCGGCCCTGACAACGACACCGCCATGAGCCAAGCCCTGAAGGAGGTACAGTCATTGGGACACGCTCAATATTTCAAAGAAGCTCACTTGATTCTGACACAAAAGGTTCCTGAAATCTTATGAGATGTATTGAATTAGAGAAGCTTGATGGAGGCAGCAGGTGTTTGTAACATATAGTGATGAAGACACCTCAAACTATGGAAATGCATTTTAAAAAATGACCTTACAGTGACTCGGCACACTTGAGTGTTAATCAGATTTGCACAGATCTCCTTTCACTTCAGATTAGCTGGATGGAAACATGTATTGATTGATTGTTATTCCACAGGCGATAAGACTGTTAAACACCTGAACCTTTGATAGGGCATCCAGTGTTTCCCACAGATCTGAAATATACTTGGGGGGGTGCTGGTAGCGGAGGGGGGGTAGGGGATTGAGGTGACGTGCAACAACATTAACATTAACCTTTCTGTTGGTCGCATGTTAGCAGACCCTTCACGCGATGGCAGAGCAAACAGGTGCAAGCAGGGCCCATAGTGATAGCCCTAGTTTAAATCTACTACCCACGAATAAACATATGGACATGGGTTACTATTTACTATTACATCGTCCAAAAGTTAATCGATCGCAGATGGCGTCGTGGTCGCGGACGGAAAAAAAAAGAAAAAAAAGAATTAATTTTTTTTTAA